GCCCGAAGGCTTCAAAGTTTGGAGACCCCTGCACTAGAGGATTGTTCTAATTTAAAATAAAGATTTGACAGTTCTCACCTGTTTTTAAATTTTCTCTGTCATTTGGCACTGTAGAGCTACTCTCAATGTTCGTTGTGTTCTGACCAAAACACGGGTTATCCCTAATGGAAACCACCTGATGCATTTGTTTTGAGGAAGGCATTTGGTGAGCTGGAGTTGAGGGCGTAAAAGGTGGTGGAATAACTCCTTGAGAATGTGTGCTGTGGCTAGGACTAGGGCTATTTTGAAGAACCTAAGAAATATTATCGATGAGTTCCATGTATCAAATAAGTCCTGTAGTTTCGAAACCATATAAGTCACAAAATTGATAATATTGATACGAATTTTTTGTATAATAAATATTTCAACTCGAAATCTGTAAGTTTTCTGTAACATCCCTATAGCTCACAAGGATATATGAAAAAATATTTGGTTTCATTGGAAAACAGCTATTTTATAATTTTTTGTGTCCGGAAAAATTTGTTGAAAATAACGTATCTGGTTTTGAAACTAGACGTCTTAAATATCAATGTGAATTAATACAAATGCTAATTGAAGACGAAATAAAAGAAAATCAGTATCTGAGCTCCAAAATTGATATGAAAACATATAAACTTGTACTGAATAATTTCACTGATGAGAATAGAAGAATTAAAAGTTCAACAGTAAAAAATCTTGTCAGCAATTCCTACTATGTAGAAAATTTGAATCTGAAAGGCCTAAATATTTGAAATTTGTGAGACAGTCATTTTTTGTTAGAAAGGGTGAAGGACAATCAAATACCAATCCTAATGCTTCAAAATCATTTTTTGAATTTTCAAATGTTTCATTCATGTTTTTGGAACCACATTAGATAAAAAGTAAGTGAGGTATTGAGCATTCATGGCTTTATAGTTCGCAATTGTAGATCTTTTACAAACATATTTACTCTATTTCCTCTTTATGTACCTAGCCTACGTAAGGTCAAAATTAAAATATGGTTCTGTTCTTTGATCTCCATTCTACAATTGCTATAATACATTAATTGAAAAAGTTCAACGTAGTTTCCTAAAGTTTCCTAAAGCACAACAAGGTGGATGCTATGGAGGTGTTATCTTTTATAAATTTCTGTGTGCCTCATTTTAGAACTAGAGGTACAAAAACTTTATCATCTTTAGCATTTGCAATAANAATGCTGTGGGCTTACACTCACCCTCCCTACTCTACAGATATTTAGAATCCTTGGAAATTCACAAGCCTAAACATTGCGGGTGCAACCTGTTAAATGATCAAATCGATTTAGTTTACTCACTGGTTTTAAATAAGCACATTCGCATTGTTAATTGTAAATTCAGGTACTCAATCAAGTCAAGTACCCGTATTATTATCTACAGGGGTGCTATATAAAGGCTAATGTAATAAACCATTGTTAGTTTAATGTATAAGTTTGAAAATGTCCTTATAAGACGGAACTATAGTAACGTTAGTTACAAATGAAAGTGGTAAAAAATCAGAAAGTTTAATGTCTCTTTTCTTCAGTATGATTTCCTACCACGTAGTAACAGCTACATCCATCAATTTGTTGAGGAATATTCATTTCACAATCTGAAACACATTTTTCTGTAAATTATTCATTGAAATGAATAATGTTGAATATACTAGTGCAGTTCAACTCATGGACTTTCACTTTAAGCGCTCCCTATCTTTGAATCAAAATGAAACAAAGTGTGTGTTAGATATCATCGAAATTTCGTATTCGTTTGAAAAACCTATTGATGCCATTATGTGAAGAATACAACATCGTTCAAATCTCCGCGACAGCTTCTCTGGGCGGAGCACATCTGAAACGTTCAATTTGTCATGACTCTGGCGCATAAATCAAGCTAAATTCGACCGATGGCATAAGTTATGTTGGCTTTGTGGACTGCTGTGATTTGTGGCTTATTCGCATATCCCTGCGACTTGAGTGAACCCCACAAAAAAGTCTGACAGGATCAAATCGCACGATCTTGGTGACCAGTTCACATCACCTTCACGTGAGATGGCCATGCCCTCAAATTTTTCGTGCAGAATATCCAATGAGATATGAGCTGTGTGACACGTAGCGCCGTCCTGTGGAAACCACGTGTCTTTGGTATCCAGATCATCCAATTCAGGTCAAAAGAAGTTGGCAATCATAAAACTATAGTGCTCGCCGTTGAAAGTGATGGCCTGGCCAACGTCGTTTCAAAGAAAGATGGATCGATGACGCCATCAGCCCAAAATCCACTCAAAACAGTGACTTTTTCGGGATGCATTGGACGCTCTTGAATCTCATGTCAATTGGTATCGTCCCAAATTCGACAATTTGTTCACATACCAATTTATTGAAATATATGAATATTATTTAGAAATGGGCCTCATCGTTGAAGATGATTTTTCGATGAAAATTAGGGTCAGTTGTCAACTGCTCCAGAGTTCATTCAGCGAACACATGTCGTGTTGTAGTTTGCGGAAGGCAGAGTTCTCGTGAGCGACGCGAAATCGACTGCCTCGGATTCTCCTGCACACTCTCACAGACAGAGGCGATGTTTTCGGCAGATTTTGCGTTTCGTCGACATACGGGTATTTGTCGATCGTTTACTGAGTCCGTGGACTCAAATTCATCCAATACATTGCGAATAGTCCTCTCGGTAGAAATATTATGTCGTCCTTGAGATGGGCCAAGCGCGCGGTACGTTGCCCGAACAGAAAATCCATTTTGATGTTGAATGCTATATCCATTAATGGCAAAACAGACTGAATAAATGGCAATTAGGGGAAAGTGATCTATTACGACACTGTCCCTATGATGGCCCTCTTATCATATTTTGATAAGAGCAAAGGGGTGTTGCCTTCATTTAGTATTCAAAGCAGTCCGCGTGGCAACAGCAGTACGCCTGTAAAATGCCGTACGGAAACGTCGCGTCGTTTCGGTGCTGCATTTAGGTGCGTATTCACCAAAAAGCGAGAACGAGCGAACAAGAGCGAACAAGAGTGAACGATTATTCTGCATCAATAATCGTCTGGTGAGTACGGGCTAGCAGGCGAGTGAACGTATGCTTGTTCGCGTTCAGAAAAGATCGAGAAGAAGGCGGTACTACGTACTTGAAGATATTCGCTCTGGTGCAGACGAGACATCAATATATCGAGCAAACACGAACGAACACAAGCAAACATACACGAATGCTCGTTCATGCTCGCTCGTGCTTGCTTTTATGGTGAATACGCACCTTTATAGCAAAAAAATTGATTCGGTGAGTACTGATGTAAGGTTGGCTAACTTTGAAGTGAGTATTTCTTGACAACCACACATAGTATAAAGATTACAAATTTGCTACCTTGAAACGTCCTTATATGCAATGCATACGTTAAGACAAATAATTTGTTTAGGTTTGCCTGTAAAGAAATATCGATTTCTGTAATAAAAATGTCGATTTGCCTATGATGGCCTCCCATGGCTGTTCCTTTGATGGCTTGGAGGCCATCAAAGGAATACCATAGGGATCGTCACGCGCACCAAATGTTACCTTTGTGTGTAGATATATAACTATTTTTTACAGAAAACAACTCAAAGGCAAAAGTGGAGGTGAGGAAAATAATATAGCATCAGCCAGAGATTCCGTGACGAACAAAGCCATAGGATACATACTGGCAGCAAAAGCCTTTGGAGTATCCAGCACTACATTGCGTAGGAGGCAAAGTGAACCCAAAACCGACGAAGTTCATGAGCCCAAAAATAATCAAAATGAAACAAACATCATCACCAAAAACATTACCAGAGAACAAATAAAAGAATTGTCTTCTATTCCAAAGGCGCCGAAAGCGTGGAAAAACAGGTATTCTTAACTCCACACCTAATGTTGAGGAACTGAAAAAAAAGAAGGCGGAAGCTTAGGAGAAAATCCGCAGAAAAACCGCTAACGCAGCCAAGAGGAAGATCAATAAACAACTGGAAAATTATAGCAACAACGAAGGTATTGAGGAAGTCTCTGATGACAACTCAGATGCCGCATGTTTATATTACAAATAATTGTATTCCTATTCACGTCGACATGATTTTTGGATAAAATGCCAAAAATGCAAAAGTTGGTGCCACACCAAATGTGTCGGGGTCGGGGTAAAGATGTTTACTTGCGATCTTTGCAAATAGCGACACACTACTTTATAGTTTAGAAGACATATTCCTTTAGCAATGGGAAGCCTGTTTTAATTAATAACGAATATTACTCATTTCCTGAATTTTACTTTTTTACCCATTAAAAAAAATCCGTCATAGGAACTAGCGTCTATGATAGCCACCAAGAAGTTTTTTTTTAATGTGGTTTCATGGTAAAGAAGAAGTGTTTGAAAATTTCAATGCTCTCTTACAAGGTTCCCTACACTAGCTTCCATTTGAGCCAATTTGTTTTCTTAAAACACAATAATTATCAAAATTACAACCAATTACAGATATGGGGGCCATCAAAGGGCACTTTCCCCTAATTTGACAGATACAGCTTCAACGAGACGGTTGTTATCAATTGTCAAAGTTTGGATGTCCCTGTTGGAAGACCCTGTACTTTGTAGATAGCAATAGTCACTTATTATTAGCACCTGATGTTTCTGACACAATGAAACTAAATTAAATCAATTGATATGCCTGAGAACATTTTATTAAATTCAAGTTTTTACCTGGTGATATTCCCTGTTCGAATTAGAAGAGACGGAGCGAGATACATGCAAATGTCCAACGGATTGCTGTGAAGTTTGGAGCTGGTTCTCTGTTGTGACTTCTTCTAGGCTTCCCATATTTGAATATGGCGGGGGGATCATGGAGTTGGCCTAAAAGTGATTGAGAATTCTCCAATAAGACTGCTGCTGATAAATTAATGCAAATGAAGGAAATTACCTCGTTAACAGCATTACACAAAAAGCTGGAACTCAAAGAATCTACTGTGCTAGTGGCTGATATCGAACCTGTAAATAATACATTACATTATTTCTATATCGAAATATCTCTAGAGCAAGTGATTTTCAGTCGTTTATGACTTCAGTATAAGTGAAAATTATATTCCGTAGGCATAATGCCAATATGCGTATATTGTGTTCACCAACCTTATAATTGTTTTTCATGATTCCATACTTTCATTCATGTATTTCACTAGCCATCATATCTAGGAAATGAAATTCTTTGTACTCACCAACGGGCCTGCTGATGAAATTTCTAATATATTGAACCATCACGTAACCAGTAGAGCCACTGTTACTTTTTATCACGGGTTCTGCGTTGTAGCTGATCACCAAAGGATAGAGATCTGGTTTTGCAGTCACCTTGAAAACAAGAGGGAACTCATTTCAGTTCAATATATCGGTGAATATTTCAATGTTTCAGGGTTCATTGTATGTTGAAAAATCACTATATTAATGCTGCTTTAGACTTTTTTACATTTTACTTGTCAGTGTGTACAGTAAAGTTTCAATATTCCCTGGTCTTGGTATAGCTAGTCGGAAATTATTGAGGTTATATACAGGTTCCTTAAGACAGTACGAGAAATATTGTAAGTTGCATGAATCATCCTTACTATACTACGATGTTCAAAAAAATAAGGTGAGTTTTAATTTTTCTCCAAAAATATTTATTTATTCAATTTCTTTTTTATCCCCTTAGATATGATACACGTGCAGATTAATTTCAATATTGTAACTTTTTTAGTGCTTGTGAAAAAAATTGGTACACAAATTTTATGTACCCCCTTAACAAGGGTTGCTCCAATGAAATTTCTTTATTCGAAAGATCTTATCTTTTTTTCGATGAGGAATCAGCTCCTAGAAAGTTTTACACCTATTTAGTTACACCCTGTATACAGACGGCTCAAAATCCAAAGAAGGCTCAGGATGTGGAGTGTACTCCAGATCACTAAGCCTAAGGATTAAGTGGGGAATGGGAAAAAATACCAGCGTGGTATCTCAATCGTCACAAAAGAAATAACCAGAAAAGGAATCTCTGGCAGAAACATAACAATCTGCACTGACATCAGACAAGCCCTATTAGCCTTGAACAGACAACATATAACCTCGGGGCTAGTACTAGAGTGTCACCAAGATTTAGCCAAAGCCTCGGTAGATAATAATTGCCGACTCTTTAGCCAAGGAAGCGGCTGGACTAATAATTTTAGGACCCAGTGGCACCTACGGCCTGATGACTTCGACAATTACGGAACTAGCAAAATGTTACACCCATACTCAATTCTTGAAGAGATGGAATGGAATCAAAGGATGCAATTTGCCAAGATCACCTTGGGCGACCCTGGGAAGCTGGCGCCAAAGGAATATCTGGCGCCAGGACCAGGAAAAATCTACGCTTAACAGTAGGATTTCTGACTGGCCACTGTCAACTAAGGAAAACCTCCATAATATGGGGCTAGTGGACACACCTCTATGTAGGATGTGTGAACAGGAAGATGAGACTGTCAGGCATGTCCTATGCGAGTGCCCGGAGTTATCGTCAATAAGAGAGTGTGTGTTCGGCGAGTCTTGGCCTACACCTGCCAATATAAAGGAGATGTCTCCCAGTGACCTGTCCCCCTTCCTGGAAAGGACAGGATGGACGATGACCTAGGAGGACGACTCCTCGGGAGGATGTACAATGGGTAACATGTGATCTCAGTGCTGTGGGCTTATACTCTACAAATACAGATATGTGGACTTATACTTCCCGCGGAAAACTGTATGACTTTCGTAATCCAGTGTTTGTTTTCAGTTTGACTCTTTAATGAGGAAAAGATTCATCAAAAATATGTTTTAATTGGGAATATAAAACAGAAAGGGGGTCATTTCGCACTTACAATCAGCATGAAGACATCCGTGGTAGAATCTATCATAATTCTGAGAATTGAAGAGTCGTCCATATTTGAATTTCCTAGTTTTTATAGCTGAGTTAATCAATATTGTGACATGAACCGCCTCGTGGTCGGAGAAACCAGGTGAATCTACCAAACACCGGATTTTTTCATTATCTAAATTGCTACATACATAGTCAATGATCGAATTACTGTAGTGGGTTATGTGGGTAGGTGACTCTATATGCATGCTTAGATCAAAACATACAATGAGGTTGATAATGGAGGGTGTTATATTTGAGTCAGTATCATCAAAATGTATGTTGGTGTCTCCAGTCGAAATAATGGTATATTTACATGGTAACTCAATCAGTAATGACTCTAATTTAGACAAAAAAGAGTTTACATCTGACGATGGTGATCGATATATACATATTATGTTTATTTTCAATTTCTTTGAATATATAATAGGAAACTCAAATAAGTTTTCTTCACATAGATAATTTAATTTTTCAAAATTTTCACAGCCCAGTATGTCATTCACCCAATCATTCACAAGAATTAAAGTACCACCATTTGAGTGAATGGATCTTGATATGACAGAGTAGTTGGGTACAAAAATTGATTCGTCTTGTTTTAACCATCGCTCATTTATCAATATGAAGTTTGGAAAATTTAATTTTTTGAAATAAATAAACAATTCATCAGATTTATTCCTTATTGAGTAAAATTAATAAAAGAAGATTGTTATTTGTGTGTCCCTTCAGGTTATGATATGAAGTAGAAGTTGAATTGTGACAAGTATTAAAATTATTTGAGCTTTCAGATACAATGTTAGCCGCTGTTTCAGTTATGAATCTATTGTTGAAAGTGACAGTTTGGGGTATGAAAAATTTATTTCTGGGGAAAAAATTTGTTGACTTTAACCTGGGATTCTATCACCTTCCTCTAATCTCTTCAGTTCTGCCTCACATAATGGAGATCGAAGATCATTTGACTTTCGTGAATAACCAGGTTTGATAGTATCGGGACCAACCGCCGTTGAGTGTTACTTTATGAAGTTTAGAATGGATTTGCTTAAGAATAGTTTTTCTTTTCTGTTAATATTCGTCACCAGTCATGACCTTTTTGAGCAAATCTGGATCACCATTGATGTCATTCAACAATTCCTGACCGATGCTCATACGACAGTTTTTTTTGAACGAACTTTGCTGCCACACGATTCATGCCCAAAATTTTAGAAAAAATTGCTTGGCATGAGTCAACCGATATGCTGATATCTTCACCAACTTCTGTAATAGTGATTCGATGATTCTCTATAACAATGTAATGGTTCGAGTCCTATCTAACTGGGCGCAGTCAAGCCGTAAAAAGCGATACTATTTCAACATATATCAACATTGACTATGGAGTGCCACAAGGATCGGTTTTAGGGCCCACTCTTTTTCTTGTATATATAAATGATTTACTGAGTGTACACACTTCTGGAAAAATTACTTCATTTGCAGTCGACACTACCATTTTATGGCATGGTAAAAGTGATGACGATTTGAATAATAAGATATTCAGAGGCATAAAAGTACTCAACTTTTGGTGCGACTTGAATCTCCTCTCATTTAATATAAGAAAGTAACTTTCACTAAGAAGATATGCCTCTAGAATATGAGATGATTGAAAACAAAAATTGCACAAAATTTTTGGGCCTTTTTATTGACAGCAAATTGAAGTTTGAAGCACACGTCAAGCCACTGAAGAATAAAATCTCCTCAGGGTGCTATGCAATAAGAATTATTTCAAGGAAGCTTGGTACTGTCAGCTTTGAACGCATATTATGTTTTAATTGAATCTCAACTGAGATATATCATACCTTTCTGAGGAGTATGTAACTCGAGTCTGCTAGATTCAGTACCTAAACTGCAGAAGAGAGACATCAGAAATGTGTTCAAACTAGGACCACGCAATTCTTGTAAGCAGTTATTTGCAGAGAAAAATATATTGCCAGTTGTGGCTCTCTTCGTTATGGAAACGGTATGTCTTATACAAAAAATTTGAAAATATTTATTCAAATACAATACTCGCGAAAAATCTAAATATAACTTAAAATTACCTTCTCCTTCCTCTTCCTTGGCAAAGGACTCAATTTTCTATAACGGCGTAAAAATGTATAACCACTTTCCGTCTCCTTCTAGAGAGAGCCACAATAGTGAAAGCTTTAGAAAATACACAAAAAATCTTCTCATGAGCAGACCCTATTATAGTTTACAAGAATTTTACAATGACAAATTTCAATGAAAAATGTGAACTGTCTATTTTTTACTGAGTTTATTGTATAGGATACTCGCTTAAAGCGATAACTTATGAGTTGAATAATTAACAAAATTTTCTAAGCAACACAGTGTTATCAATACCATCAACAAAAATTGATTATTAACGATATTAGCAAATCTTCATCGACAAATAGAAGAAAGAATTAGAAAAATCCGTACTATATGGCTATATACCTATATAGCTCCAAATATTTATTTCAGTTCGTCTTCCAAAAATATTGGAAAAACAGCGTTAAATTTGCCCAGATTACATTTGCCATAATCGTGAAATCGAATATTCACTGAATTTTTAACCGACTTAATATAATTTCGCTAGGATGGTTATTTTTAAATCTGAAGCAATGAACTTTAAACGTTCAAGCCATTCTCGGATATACCTAGACAGTAGATTGAATGGACTGACGCCTATCAGAAAACAACTACTCCCCTGGCTAATACCACGAAGGGCGTTGGATTATATCCGAAAGGCGTCAGTGGAATTCAGAGGAATCGGGCAAATTTCGGATATGCAGTTGGTTAGTACCTCGTCCACTAGATGGAGTGACATTTTCTTGTTCGCTCCAACTTAGGAATAGGAATGAAATACTCTGAAAGAATTCCGATTTTCAATTATGGAATATCATTGACTTTAGGTCGATGATGGCAACAATCTTGCACTGACGGGTACTCAAAAGTCACACTTTCTTTTTTCCATAAGAATTGTTTTATTACCTCTATGGATGATGTTGGAGAAAAAAAAAGTATTTCTTTTCAAAAGAGTATAGAAACACTATCTATTGATATAAAAACATCATTGAAAATTTATGAAGGGCATTAAAAATGCAAAAGACATAAAATTTACTTCCAACCCCGGTCTCCCCTAGTTATCTACCTAATGGGAGTTAAAAATATAGATCATTATTTTTTGTCACAACTGATACCTTAAAAATGGTTAAATTTAACTCCCATCTGAGATTTTGCTCCAAGACGCCAATATTTGTCATGTGCTGTGAATTACATATTTCAAAATACTGATAAAGTAATGAGGGGTTACGAAGTTTTTTCCTAATTTCAAGTTTTTCAATAAATATGTGATGTTTCTAAACTAGTTTTTTTGACATGAATTTATAGGTTTTTTTATCTACAAACCATCATATTTCCCAAGAATTAACTATTTTCATTAATTACCTCTGTATAAGGTGGTGGGGCCTGGTAGAAACTATTACATCTACTATATTGTGGCGGTGCATAGCAAGAGTTAGAGTCAGGTTCTGAAGCTCGCTCATCGCGACCTGCATCTTTGCAGCACAAACCGCCTTGGTTATGTTTTCTCCAAAGAGAGCAGGCGCATAGGATACCCGCCACTGTAGCTGTCACAGCAAGCCAAAAATACCTGAAAATGAATTGTATTCAGATCAATCTGGATAAAATCATGTTATATTTTTGAATAAGCAAGATAATTTCCAACATTTGTTAATTGATGTCTTTGAAGCCTCTTAAAAAACTGGTGGCATATAATGATACCAGCTGACCAGGCGAACTTAGAAACGCCTTAGAATAAATGAATGTTTTGTCAACTGATTATATTAACTGATTTATATTGTATTTGTGAAGCACGAAGTCCAGCCATACTAACACGACTAGTGTAGTATTTCTGGACTTCCTAGTGTTTACATGACTGGATCTACATGATCTACATGACTAGTGTAGTAAACCTGTCAACACTGATCACCATGACGCTCCTCTCGTGCGATTTTTTCTCACCTGCAGCTATTCTCAATAGTCCGTTCCAATAATAGTTATTTTAATTCTTCACGGATGTATAAAGTGATCATTGGTTGAAGATGCTGGTACGTCCTCCGAAGGGATCAGAGCTTCAAGTACAGGTAATGACCAGCAATCCTCTATCAGGTTATTGAAAATAATAATAAGTTTGCATGAGACAACATAGAGGCCGTGGACTTCGTAGTGTCTACATGACTGGATCTACATGATCTACATGACTAGTGTATTAAACCTGTCAACACTGATCACCACGGCGCTCCTCCCGTGCGATTTTTTCTCACCTGCAGCTATTCTGAATATTCCTTTCCAATAATAGTTATTTCACTACTTCACGGATGTATAGAGTGATCATTGGTTGAAGATGCTGGTACGCCCTCCGAAGGTGCCTGCGCTGCAAGTACAGGTAATGACCAGCAATCCTTTATCAGATTAATGAAAAAATAATATGAGCTATTTTCAATATTCCATTCCAATAATAGTTATTTTGCTACTTCACGGATGTGTAGAGTGATCATTGGTTGAAGATGCTGGTACGCCCTTTAAAGGGGTCGGAGCTCCAAGTACAGGTAATGACCAGCAATCCTTTATCAGATTAATGAAAAAAATAAAATGAGTTTGCATGAGACAACATAGAGGCCACTGACTTTGTGATGTCTACGTGACTGGATCTTCATGACGTGTGTAGTAAACCTGTCAATACTGATCACCACGGCGCTCCTCTCGTGCGATTTTGTCTCACCTGTAGCTATTAACAATATTCCGTTCCATTAATAGTTATTCCACTACTTCACGGATGTATAGAGTTATCATTGATAGAAGATGCTGGTACGCCCCCCGAAGGGGTTGGAGGCTCCAAGTGCAGGTAATGACCAATATAGAGGCCATGGACTTCGTAGAGTCTACATGACTGGACGGAGTCTTGTAAAGTCATGAGAATTCGGATACCTATGTAAAATTAGAGCATTTATTGATGACCTCGGTTCATCAAAGCTCTTGGACTTTTTTTTCTCAAGCCTATGGTGCTGAAGTCGGAAACCGGAAACTGAAGTCGGAAACCGAACTTTCAACACCTTAGCTTGCCGTAGTCGCAAGCTCAAATGCAGGTGCAGGCTCTTCCACGAGGTGCTAGAGGCCCTCATGCACTTGCTATCAGCACACATTCTTTGATAAGCCAAGGTCTTCAATGTCTCTAAAGCCGTAGCAGTGAACAAATCTCTGTAGCTGTCATGTTGTTTTTTTGCTGAACAAGTTCAAAATTGGTGACATAGTTGTGTTCACCTCGTTTAGTGTAAAAAATTGCAGTTCATTAATCTTTCGGACAGCTGCCTTGAGAAGAAATGCTCCAATTTCTGCTCTCTCATGATTGTTGTGGAAAAGGAGATCCGAACTCCTGATGACCTGAAACACTTCAAAATAAAAAATTATTTCTTCCCTGTTGTCGGAAGGAAGTATAACCGTGGAACGTACGATTTGGGATGAAAACTACTATTCAGCATCATTTTTTGGATATTTACGTCCAGTTCATACAGCTCCTCCAAAGTTCACTTCATTACTGCAAAGAAATAGAGTAAACCCGAAATAGCAAGCATGTTTGTTGAAGCAACTTCCGTGACAGTTCCGATCACCAGATCTGTCGGAGTTTGTACTCATACTTGTCCCAGAAAGACATCTCCACTGAAGTAACATCTAATGAGTGGCGTTTCTCCATTCCAAATAGGCATCCACATGATGAAGGATGATTTCTTCTCCGATCTGTTCATCCTCTCCATAATCGCGGTATCGTGTTTTTTTAAATAGACCACCACCTTTGAGGACTGATTGAGATTATTTTCTCCTGTCTGGTTTTTAGCTTGACCAGATGTTATCATTATCATTATGAATGGCATTATCATTATTATCACAAGCAATGCGTTCAACTAAGCACTACTGATGAAACCTATGACGGGTGGAAACAGCGTTGTCTGGTGGTGAATCATGAATGCTTCATTTTTGAGCTCTAGTTTTAAATACTCAATCGGTTATAAATAAAAACTGTCGGTTATAGATAGTCCACAGAATTAACTATCGAGTGTGATACAAACTGTTACGTGACTCTTTAGCGACTCCGTGTATTACCGCGTTAATTAAGGGGACTAATCTTTGTGCAGATTATTTTGTTGGAAATCAAAGAGAAGTTCATTTCAGCATCTGTACTGAAATTGATTTTTCGTTATAATTTGAAATCAATGAGGAGGAAAAATGAATGATAAAGGCTTAACAAGTGAAATGTCAATAACAATCAGAGGATTTATGTAATGCATTCCATTAGTTCGGACTTTCAATGTCTAATATGATTTGAAATCCCTGGAAATCCCAATTACCGAGAAATGAAAATTAGAAATTGAAAGATTTCAAGCTAAGTTACTTCACAACGTTTCGATTGTTAGTACCCACAATCGTCTTCGGGTGATGACTGGACTCATTCCTCCGAGAGATGACTATTTATAGGTCATGCGAGTGCTTTTACCTATCCCCTCTTCCCTTTCTCCTCTTCGCCGTTTTAGCGGGAGCTGAGCGTTTGGCGGAAGTTGGCCGTTTCCCGCTTTATGGGTTTCCATATGTTGCGTATCTCTACGCTAGCTTGGGTAAATGCGTTGTTGGATAACATATATGCAGCTTCTTTGAATTTTCTCCTAACCCAATGTTTCTCCTTGTGAATGATATCAGCTTGAATAATTAACGTTTCTTGTTGATTGTTCAATTATCAATTGTTACTTGTGTTTTATTTCATTGTAATTTCGATATTTTTTACTTAATATAATTGTTTAATCCCAACACCAAACTGTTATTTTCAACACCTCAACACGTGTTTCAATCACCAAGTGATCATCTCCAAGAAGAAGATCAAACTCACTAGTTTCGGTAGAAATACTCATAGTGTTATTAATTTTCATCAAATAACGGGTCAGTCAATTCACGAATTGAAATTGTGAATCAATCTAAATTACTTTTGTTCCTACAGAAAAAAATCACTGACCCGATATTATTGTCAAACTCTTCTATTTACTTCAAAAGTTTCGAAATCAACCAAAAAATTACCAAAGATTCAAACCTCATTACTTGAGGTTTTTTGCTATATACCTACTTTCTCATCCTATTCTCGTATGCTTGCTGTGAATTTTCAAGTTTAAATTAAAATCCAACTATTTCCTATTTTATATTCATCCAAAAATATTCATTTCATAGTCCAACGAAATCTTGATTTAGTGCTGTTCGAATATCTATGGGACATTGGGACATTGTAAAGTGTCTGATTTGTATTTTTATTCACTGAAATCTTTGAGAGACAATCGACGTGGCGTGAAATTGGTTACGTCCATGTACATTATTGGTCCAAACACTTTCCGTTCCGCTATTTAAATAAAATAAAAACATGAAGAACTTTTGGAATTCAATCCAATAGTTTTCCAGTCTGAAATAAACGTTCTTAATGTTTTGTTATCTGGAATATTATTACATAATACGTTACTGGTTCACTTGAATTTTGTTTGGACAACTTCCGTGATACTTAATTTGTTTTCCTCATTTCACAATTGGCAATTTTTTGTTTTATTAAACAGAAAATTCGATTTTGAAGTTACTCCCACATCTTGAACTAAACAGAATTTGAGATAAATAAAATTCCAGAAGGTATTATAAAGACAAGAAAAACACCGACTATTTCTATAGTGAACTTGAGTGGTGAAAAGAGATCATAGTAACGATTTTGAAAAACGAACTTGTATTTATATCCTCTGAATACTTCACACCATATACATGAATGTATATGGTATTATTTGTATATGATTTATTTCATAAAAATGTTTTACCTAGAATCGCTCATGTTGAAATCAAGTTGAATATTACATTTTCGTTCATCTACACAGGTAAATCATATCATCGCCTTCATCAGTAATAGACGTCAATTCGTTTCATTGAAGGATGAATCTAATCTTCTTATACATAATTCATCTATACACGTGTCGGGGTTTTGTAAACTGTCAAATGTTTTTTGAATAACATGACAATGTTCATTCTTAAAACCCCGAGTATAAAATTCAGATTTCTATTGAATATCTTACAATATCTATAAATCACAAACCTATACTTTCCATTTAAAAAATTGGAGTTTTTACCTGTCATTAGAAGGAGGTTGGAGGTATAGGAGTAACATTTTCACGTTGAATAATGTCAAATTATAATTTACATTTAACGTGTTTCGGGATTTTTTTAATATGTACAGTAACCAAAATAATGAATTTATTCCATTTGACTTTTACACACTGTATCTGAAGGGAACTACTTTGAAGAGAATAAAATAGAAATTGACGAATGAATGAATATTTTTTGTCAAAAATGAAAATTCGCTTTATTTTTTGAACAGACAGCGTATGTGCCATAAAACTAAAAATAATTCATCTGCCGTATTCGGTTCACAGCTAACATAATAATAATAATAATACCGTCTTTATTATCTTCTAATACATTCAAATCACATTAATCATGTACAGTTCATTCATATAAGAAGACAAAAGGCGAAGTTCAATTTACATGATGACAAGTCATCATTCAACTTAACCTCAAAAATGT